TAAACAAATAATAAGACAAAAAGTTACATTGGAAATAAATTTTAGGGGTTGCGTTTTCCACCCCTTACAACCATGGGGTAAACCAAATAAATTACTGGCTAAGTGTTTTTTGGTAGTACAAAACGTCAGGTTAATTTCAATATTGCAACTTTTTCAGTGCTTGTGAAAAAAATTGTTATACAAATTTTATGTACCCCCTTTAAGGGGCTGCATCTAAACAAGGGGTGCTTCAATGAAGTTTCTTTATATGAAAGATCCTATCTTTTTTTCAATGAGGAATCACCGCCTCAAATGTTTTACACTTATTCAGTTACACCCTGTATAATTAAAAATAGCCAATCTCTGAACATGTTCAAAAACGAACTGAAGAATTTTGTTTTCAATGTACAAATATGATATGTATTATGTGTTTGTTACCTGTAGCTACAATTTTCTTTCTTGAGATATCATCATGCCTATCTTATTGATCCACTTTAGAATGTATTCATCTAATGTTTGTCATATATTTTTCAAATAATTCCAATATATAACAAATTTGTAACAAAAATATTAGAAATGTATGTAAATTAGGATGTTCTTACTTCAAATAAAGATTATTTTTACTATCATCATTATTACTTTCGATAATAAAAGCACATACTTGATCTAAAATGACCGAATTAGGTATTTCCTTTCTCAATCTGTGTGTCACCCCGAACATTCCTTCCGCTGAATTCGAATCTGCATTTACAGGAGTACGCACAATCTCTGCGCCAAGAGCTGTCAAAACTGAAACTTTCTCGTTCGACATCTTCTCCGACATGACGATGACACATCTGTATCCTGAAAAATTCACAAAATCATAAGAATTTTCTAATTTTGAATGGTTTTGCAGGATATTAGTCATCAGAGAAAGATAACTGAACTCTGAAAATAACCTACTTCTCTCTCTTCCACTCTTCTATCAGTTATGGTGTCGTTCTCTGGAGAAATTCTACAGGGGCTGCAAATGTTTTCAGGATTCAAGAGAAAGGTATACGGATCATTACTAACTCTAATTACAGAGATCATTGCCAACACCTTTTCATTAAAACGCCTTTTCAACAAAAAGTTCCTTGATCAGACACACAGAATGCCGAAAAGATCGATTTTGTCTGACCAAATCTCAAAAACTAGCCTTGATTGTAATTTGTATAACTGTCTTCCTTCAGAATATAATATTCTCAACCTGAGTTTTCAAAAATTGTAAGAAACTATCTACTGAGACACTGCTTTTATTGTCAATGAATATTCAATATGATTATATATAAACATAAAGTAGTGTCCTTTTTATTCTCAAATCATTATTATCATTATTGGAAATATTTCCTTCATGTACAGCCCTCATACAACTTTCCTCTATCTATTTTTTTATAAAGACAGTTTCTTTTTATGATAATGATTTTTTTATTTTTAAACTATACTATTGATGTTTTTTATATATACATGTGTACGTAAATTTGTAATTGTTGACATGTCCTTGTTCAATATTGACGTTTTTAATAATTTATGTAAACTTTGTGCATTCAAATGATAAAATAAAGGAATATTATTATTATTATATTCGCACATATTCGATAAAGTTGAATATTGATATCATCTTCTAGTGAATATCTTACTTTTTATCGGAGACCCAATGTCACGATGCTTGGAAATCCCGGAATTGATAAACATGGTAAAAATTCTCCTTATCAACAGCATTTAGGAAAACAAACATTAGGTTTTTCCTTGTTCAAAATTGTAAATCTCCTGTTTCAGTTATCTACATGAATACTCTATTCCTGTGACATATTGCAAAAAAAGTCAAAAATACCTTTAACAGCTGCTGCCATTGCCAAACCTATTCCAGTGTTGCCAGATGTTGGTTCAATGATGGTGGACCCAGGTTTGAGCAAACCTTGTCTCTCGGCATCTTCAACAACTCTGAAGGCAATTCGATCTTTCACCGATCCACCAGGATTGAGGAATTCACATTTTACATCTGTGAATGAAATAAGGAATATTTTAATTAGAATATTTGTATAGGTTTGCGGGAAGATGATTGAAAAACTTTATACCTCTATATGAGGGGATTTTTTCATAGAATGATGAGCTGTCTAGAAATTCTGATGAGGTCTCCATTTCTAGTTGGGTAACCATGGCTATGAGAAAATGTTTGATACATCTCAACATGTTGCATATATAACTTTATACATTTGAAAACATAAATACATGGAACTGCTAAAATTTTATATTTTTGAAAATATGTACAACACGATTCATCTGGTTTTAGATTGAAAATGAGTCAAATAATTCTTTTTTGGGAAACAAATATTCTGCTTAAGTTACTGGAGCATTCCCAGATGTTGATGTTATAGGATATGTTGTAGTAGATTAGAGCATAATATACATTGATGAGTTGAATGGTACTGAACATATTTTTTAAATGCAATATAGCATACTAAACTGTGTTCACTTTTTTGCTTATGGCATCAAAATTATTTTCCCAACTCATTCAACTATCTATATAAGTTCCGAGGAATTTCGTAACTTCAGAAAGATTGATGGTACCATTTTTAACAACCACTTGAATATCAGTCACAGATCTCCACCTAGAATGGAAATGCTGTTTTCTCTGCATTCACTATCAAGAAATTTCTTTCACACCAATTTATGAATTCTTCTGCTAAATTATTTAGTTTTTTTGCAAGTCTTCAGAACTATCTGAATCAATGGCCTATGTAGTATCATCTGCATAGAGAACTACTGAATCTGAACTGATATAGTCAGGTAGATCGTTTATGAATAACAAAAAAATAAGCGCTCCCAAGATCGATCTCTAAGGAACTCCCCGGTTCATCTCATAATATTCAGATTTATGCTCTCCGATTTTAACCGATATTTTCCTGAAGCGCATGCATGACATCAGTCATGACAAGAAATTTCCACTAAAACCAAGAGCACAAATTTGATGGGAGTTTTTTATAATAGGGCATTGAAAATGATTTATCTTTGAATAGATTTTCCCTATAATCATCACAAATCCTTGAAACCTACCATTCATGTATAAGGTATGTTAAAAAAATTGGGTGAATTTTCATTTTTCTCAAAAAATATTGATTTATCCATCAATTTCTATTTTGTCTCCTTCTAAGTAGTCCCACTTAGATATAATGCACTTTTGCCAGCCTTTTTTTTAATCTTCAAAGCGGTTCTGATATGCACTTTTTTATGTTCTTGAGATCTCCCAGTTGAGATCCCCAGTTTTTAGATCCTCAATCGCCTCAAAATACTTCTTATTGATCGTACGACCATGTGGCAAAAACTGCTGATGTACTATGCTATTTTGGAAAGAACTGCCACAAGTGTTTTTGAGCACTTAAATCCATTTTTACACAAAATTTGTTGCTGAAGTTTTTCAACAATTTTCCTATCGTCATTAGTTGGTAAATGATTCTTGTATAAACTATCCTACAAGTTTAATGCTTGGTTAAACAATGAAGTGTTTTTTTTCATTTTCAAAATGTTTCATAAAGCACAATTGGCCAATTCATAATATTAAACCTAATGACCCAAAGTATATTCATATTATAAAAAATAAAAATAAAAATGTAAACCAACGTCATTAAACAATTATTCTCATACCATTGAACAATCATTTATTGATAGCATATGATAAAACCAGACTTTCACACGCTTTGATACAATTTAAAGAGGTGTTATCATAACTCTTAAGAAAGTTCAACTGTAACAGTAATTTCCGAGATTATTATGTTGCAATCTTGAAGGCCTCCATCAAATGATAATAAACTATTTTTCATAACATATCAAATGATTAACCCATAATAAATTTCAACATATTGAAGTTTGAATAATCAGAACAGATGAAAACATTAGGACTTATAATAATATGAGTATTTCTTATCAAATTGGTTTTTGTAAATCAGGCAAACAGTTTTAAGTATGAAAATACAAGTAATAGTGAGAATTTTTTTTCTCAAAAATAATGGTCTGCATGACTCACGCACTCACACCTTGCATAAGTATCTAACCGCTCGCTTTTGCAAAACAAGCACTGAATGAAGTGTTGTTGCTTAGGCCAAAAATAATAAAATAGATCGAGTATGCAAAAACTATTAAGTATAAATGTTTAGTTAAATAATACAGTATATCCAGCTTTTAATGAATCCACCTATACATATCTGTTGTTTAGAGTGTAATTCCAAACATATTTGGCCAGAGAAAATGAGCTATTTTATGGAGGAAAGTAAGGTCAATTAGTATAATAGGAGTTAACATAAATGAAAATTGTTTTCAAATTCAGATCCAGCATCCCCAAAAACCCGTATGTACTGAATCATTTTAAAAAGTCTAAAAATAATGAAAAGAAATATTGAAAATAATGTTTTATGTAATTATAACTTCTAAATCTACTATTTCTTGGTAAAACTGATATTTTTTAGTTGAAATAATCGTTTCTTACCAGTAACATGAATATAAATCAAATCACATGTATAATTTTTATTTTTCAATGACATATGTGATATATTTTTTACCAATAGTATGACTCTATTACCCGTAAAACAACATACCTATGAAAATAAAAATTTAACGTCAGTCAATTTGAGGTAATTCTGCATACATATCAAATGCATATTCAAAATTGCATTATAAACGATAAAGTTTTATGGATGGATTCTAAAAAGCACTGTATATTGTTGATTGACCTGATAATTTGAAAAGTTTTTTCATATTTTGTGTCCTATAATTAGGTGATCAAAAATAACTTTATGATTAGGTACCTATACTGAGGCATTTTATAAAAATATGATTTTGCTTATATTTTAAAAAAATTCTAGCACAAATTGGATCTAATCGGTTAATTTCACACACTATTCATTAACATATTCAATCATAGCGATCTAAAAATAATTTTTCGATTCCTTACACGTTTATAATGTAATTTCTCTCTGCCTTCATTACACAAGAAAAACAAAAATAACACTTACATACTTCACATTTTAGACCTTCAGCCTGTGGGATTTTGTTCAGTTTTATCATTGGGGTATTTCCAATAGCAGCCAAGGCATTGGGGAGTATTTTAGAAGTTCGTTTCCTGAAATAGCGATCGTGAATGTGATATCGTGTATGGAATATCCTATGCATTTTATAGAAATAAACATATCAATAAATGCTTACCAATCTTTTGTAGAATGAGGGGTTGATTGTCTGTTGGCATTTTTGTGCCACGTGCAGGCAGACTTTTTGTCAGGAACATTGAAATTATCATTCAAAGGAGACCAAAAATTTAGATTAGCTTTCAGACGTTTAACATTTTCAATGTTCTCTCCAGAGTTTATCTGAGCTGCAACTTCAGTCATATTTTTTATTTCCAAAGAAGACGTAGGCGCTTTCACTGAGTTTGGTAATAGGATATAAATTACTGTATATAATTAGCTAAAACTTCGAAAACACTACTAAATAAAACGAAACAAATAGCTACAACCTATACGCAACTACACTTCGAATGCAAATGATCATCAATTCAGAGAGTTGGTTGTCTCTGATCAATTAATTAAATTAAAACCTAAAATAAAAGTGACCAATAAACTACCAATACTCACTTTGGTTAAGGAAGGGGAAAGGAATCTGCTTGTTATTGGTTCACAGCACAAAACGTAGTTCACAGAATATTTGTACAATACGTTTAAAAAATGGAAGAATCATGTCAAGTAACATGTTCGTTTGAAAATTTGCGTAATTCAGGATGGACTGCAGAAATCTGAAACAGTAAAAAAAAATCTTTTTTTTTTCGTCTTCAAAATATTCAAAATACACTACAATTTTAACTTTGACCTTCAATTTAAACAACTTTTCTCAAACACCAGCGCCACCCAGACTGTCTTATGAACATTTCAATTTAGTATATACAGTGGTATTATGAAGAAAATTTAAGTTTTACTCATGGGCGTTCCAAAAGTTAATTTTTATGCAGTTCTGTCATTGTCGAAGACAAAAGTATAATATAATGTAAAGAATGTACAATAGTCCAAATTACTTTTTATGCTGTTTCATCATTGTAGAAGATACAATTATGTAAACAAACTATTGGAATACAGACAGAATTATACCAGACCTGTATGTACAACTGAGTAAAGTCCAAAAACCTACCTCACGTATTGATGTAACAATGTAACGAAACCTCAACCATAAAGCTAGTGGCTGGATAAATGTCTTAGGACGCACCCAACTGAAACATTAACAAAATAACCTCAAATATTGATGGCGGGAAGGTTTGCTTATATTTTTGTAGACTTATAATTTGTTGGGTTTCATCATCTCAGGATTTTTGAACACGTTAGTTTTAAAAGAGCACAGAATGTTGTGGGCAGACAAATACCGCCCTAAAGATCTTGCAAACTTGGACTACCACAAGGATCAAGCTTCAAACTTGAAAAATCTCACAAAAGATGGTGATTTTCCTCATTTACTCGTGTATGGCCCTTTGGGAGCAGGCAAGAAAACCAGGATAATGTGCTTGCTCAGAGACTTGTACGGTCCGGGAGTTGAAAGGCTGAAAATGGAGATGATGTCTTTTACAACCCCATCTAACAAAAAACTTGAAATAATGACTGTCAGCAGCAACTACCACATCGAAGTGAACCCTAGTGATGTAGGCATTTACGACAGGGTGGTCGTGATGGACATTATCAAAAACGCAGCTCAGAGTCAGCAGTTAAATTCTAATGCTCAGCGGGATTTCAAAGTAATCATTTTAACTGATGTCGATGATCTAACGAAAGATGCCCAACATGCTCTCCGCAGAACGATGGAGAAATATATAGCCAACTGTCGCATCATACTTTGCGCCACGTCCATATCTAGGGTGATTCCTGCCATCAGGTCTCGTTGTTTGTGTATAAGAGTTCCTGCACCATCTGAAGAGACAATAATAAGCATCTTGCAGAGTACTTGTAAAAAGGAGGATCTCACTCTTCCGGTTGAACTTGCCAAGAGAATTGCGAAATTGTCAAATCGTAATCTGAGAAGAGCTTTGTTAATTTGCGAAGCATGCAAAGTAGAGCAGTATCCTTTCACTCAAAATCAGAACATTCCCGAACCAGATTGGCAAGTATTTATTAAAAAAACCGCGGGGAGAATACTGCAAAACCAGAATATGGAAACTCTTGCAAAGGTAAGAGAAAATTTGTATGAGTTGATTACCAACGGCATTCCTTCTGATATTATATTCAAGACTCTACTCGAGGAATTATTAAAAAATTGTGATATGGGAATCCGATCGAGAATTGTGGAACAAGCTGCAATTCACGAACATAGGATGGTTCAAGGGAACAAAGCCATATTCCATTTGGAATCGTTTGTTGCAAAGTTCATGTATATTTATCAGGATATGATGCAAGAAATGATGGGCGATTTTTGAAATGATTGGTTGTTAAAGTTTTCAATAGACCAAAAATGGTTATTAAAATTTGAGATTGATGTTTAAAGAAACTAGACAATTTCTGGTACTTGGACTATTATTGGTTTTTCAATTATACTTAGTGACTCTAAGTTTGTTGGAAATACGTTATTTGTTGATTTGAAGGACCAGGAATGCTCAACAGCTAGTTATTTAATAAAAATCATGTATTTTTTGTTTAATAAATGCTTCAGCCAGCAAATATAATTTATTATTTTTAAGCCATCTGGTACCAAGTGGGTCACCTTTGTAAATAAGGATAGTCAATATACAAAGTGGTCATAGCAGAAAGCTACTGTGAAGTGGTCACTTTTAAAATAATTGTTCATTTTACTAACAGATGGCGCTTAGAACAACATTTCTGCATCAAATTCCACGTTAAGGGACAGATATTGTTTCTATGGGACTATACTAAAGGTCCTTTAAAATACTGCCGAGAAATTTTGATCTAACTGGAACCTTTAAATTAGAAAACATATGATTCTGATGAGATCTCTTTTTTAAAAATATTTGAACCGCATGTTGTTGAAATTTGAAGTTTTAAATCTTGTTAGTTGACACTTTTTTTGTTGAGCATTTTCAAATTCTTGGGAACGAATTCAGGATAATTGTTGTGAAATGTCTATTGACTAGTACAGTCAGTGTGGATGATGTAATTGAAGAATTAAGTTGTAATCCTTACAATAATTATGGTTTTTGACTTTTTATGAACACCTCATCTGTCGATTGATCCTATTATTAGTTTTTCGATTACAAAATAGATGTCGCATCAATTGCCAACGCAAGGAAAGTTTAAACAAGGAATGATTTCTATTGGACTTCTCAAAATGCAGAAAACATATTATGTTAATGCTTTGGAGAATCCGTCAACAATAGATGTAGACACAGCATAGTTAAGAATTGTTACCTATGCTGTGATATAGATACAAAATTCAGTCACTGTGCTCATCTGTATGGTTTCGATCTGCCTAAAAAAACAGAAATTTCATTTATTTTATTATTATTATTATCTTTTAATTTTATTTATGCATGCGCATTGTAAACTGTAAATTCAGGTACTCAATCAAGCCAAGTACCTTTATTAGTACTTTATTAGGCTAATGTAATAACCGTTGTTAGTTTATTGTATAAGTTTGAAAATGTCCGTATAGGACGAAACTGCAGTAACGTTAGTTACAAATAAAAGTGGTAAAAAACATAGAAAGTTTCATTTTTCTTTTCTTCATTCATCATAGAATTTTCTTCAAATTTTGTGTAAAAAATGGAATGAAGTACTCAAAAACACTTGAAATGTTAGTGGCATACGATGATTGTACCCTGAGTCAGAAAAAAATATTTACAAGTGGTAGGTACGCAAGCTTATGATGCACTGTTTGGAACCATTGGTGTAGTAATGCATATTACTGGAGTTTTTTTCCCAACACCAAATCGTTATTTTCAACACCTCGACACCTGTTTCGATCACCAAGTGATCATCTTCAAAGAGGGAGATCAAAACTAGAAACTAATGCGAGCTAACCCTATTTATGCTATAAAGGTAACCCATACAGGTAAACCATCCAGGTGTACCAACCAAACAGGTATACCAACCTAAATTAATTTTACAATTTTGCCTTATCTATTATTTTACAATATATGTTTATATAAAACAATTTTAGACACATTGCAAAAATAAATTTGGATAGGCAATATTGTGAAATTATTTGTTTTATATAGCTGAAAATTGTTATATTTAAACATATATTGTAAAATAATAGATAAGGCAAAATTGTAAAATTAATTTAGGTTGGTATACCTGTACGGTTGGTACGACTGGATGGTTTACCTGTATGGGTTACCTTTATAGCATAAATAGGGTTAGGTCGCATTAGTTTCTCGTTTTAATCTTCCTCTTTGAAGATGATCACGTGGTGATCGAAACACGTGTCGAGGTTTTGAAATAACGATTTGGTGTTGGGAAAAAACTCCAGTAATATTCATTTGGTACGCAAGCTTTTCACAAAAGGTCGAGAAGATTTGAATGTCGACGCTAGCCTGGACGCCCCAGAACATCAACAACCGACGAATATGTTGAGAAAGTGAAGAAAGTTGTTATGAAGAATCGTCAAATCACTAATGGAGAAATTGCTCATGCCATGCAATTAATTAAAAAAAAACTCTATATAAAGATGTGTAGATCACACAAAAAAGGAAGTTTCAGACACTTGAACTTTGAATTAAACAGTTTGTATTCCGATCATTCATTATGGAATTGAAGCAGATATCATTCACAGGATTGCTACACAATATAGTATATGGAAGAGGTAAAATTCCACTCATGGAATACTGTTATCCTCAGTGGCGGACATCCGATGTTTCGGAATAAGTCACTTGCCTTATTGTCTCTTCAGCACTAACCTGGACAACATTTCAAGTTGAAGCACTCAGTTTATTTATAAAATCACAACCTAATGTCACAAATGTGTTAAATTTACTCATGTAATCGATGACAGTACGTAATGGCATTCATTCGATTATTCGATTTAATCCTAGCCATAGGATTCCTGTTCTGATTGAAAAGGGGATCATTTTAGGAGAGAATAATTTTTGGGGGAAAAAGCCACAACTTTCCTTTCCAAAAATTATGAAAATATTAAATAACCATTACGTATTTCCTCGATGACTTCGTCTCACGTCGACAAACGTCATTCTATATCATAAAATCATTCAACTATATTCTTTTTTCATTCAGAGATTTTATAATTCATATAATTTATGTCTGGTAGTGCTGACATAAATTCCTTGTCGATAAACTAACTCTCTGCGGAAGGGTCTGCGAATTGAAAACCGGAATTGAACTAGAACGATTGGCTCAATAACGTAGAAAATAATGTACCTGTTAGTAGCGATTCTCATCTTTACCTGAAAAACAGGAAGTACAACGTATTAGCGTATAAACATTGTAGTAAATAGTAAACAAAACGCTTTGTGGGTCTTTCTGTCTTCATGAATGTGCCGAATGCATCATATCTAAAATCTTTTATAACTCGGCATGAATGGACCACTCTCACTAATGGTAGGTTCGGTTCCAGTCCCATTCTTCTTCCACAATGCTGCCAGATGATTGAGTTTAATGATACTAAATTGTCGGGGATTATTGTGCGTTTAAAAGATTTCATGCCTTTCGAAACGAGAAGAAATTGCGAACTTCACGAATACGATTTTGATTCTACTGTGTCGTGGTAGATACTGAGCAATAGAGAATTTTGTATACTCTATACATAGACCAAATCAAATCAAAATATGCTTCATTACCCAAGAACTGAACATCTGATTGGCAAAGTCTAGTGAAGTAAAACATGTATATGGGACATCGAATTAACAAATATAAACTACACACATCGGAAAAGTCTAGGGATATTTTTAAAAATGGCAATAATTTTTTTTAAGGCTTTGTTCAACCCATAGAAATCTACAGGGTGGTCTAGTGTACCAATTTAATCGAAATTAAACGACCTCATGCATTTATTTTTATGATATTTGGTATGTTATAAAAATATCCCTAGAATATATGAATATATGAATATCGAGTAAATGTAAATATAATGCTTGTAATGAACATTGATAGCAATTTCGTGTTGATTTCAATAACTTGTTCACACAAAGCTACATGCCATTGATAGAATTCGTCCACACTATAGGTAATAGGGTCTCCCAACAAGGAATTCTTTTACTTTCTTTCTGAATTTCTTTTCATTATATATTCGCCTTAAATCAATGGGAAGGTGATTAAATAAATCTTGCTGTTGAAAATAATAGAATTTTGTGTAAGGGCTAGAGTAGGTGTGGGAAGGGAAATGAAGTAAGACTGACGTGTACCTACTGTAAGTTACGGTGGTATCAAATTGATTTTTATATTTTTTGTGGATAAGACACACTTTTTCCAAAATAAAAGGACATACTAAGTTCAGAATTTGTTGCTTCACAAATAATGGACGGGATGAATCCCTGTTAGCCTTGCATAAATATCTGACGGATCTTTTTTGTAAAGAATATACCATATTGAAATGAAATTGTGCACAATTTCCCCAGAAACAAATTCCATAACATAAATAGGACTCAATTTGTGCAAAATAAAAGTAGTAAGCAGTGACGGCTCGGGCATTGGAGAACCGGGGAGGCTAAAGTCATAAAGACTTTATACACACAAATTTGGTTGTTAAGGCCTTCCCAGAGTTTTAATAATGTAAAATTTATTATCATATAATGAAGACTTAAAATTATTTGTCAGCAACCAATCGACTATACCGTCAGGTTTTTTAATTTCGTCCAACTTATCCATAATAGGTAAATGGAAAAAAAACTTACCGAAAAATGAAAACATGAAAATACCTTGAAAATAAAAGAAAACGCTTTAAAAACACACTAAAAATATTACCAAAAAGCACTGCTATAATACAATATTGCCTGTTTTATACACTAATAACAAATATTATCAAGAAACACTAAAACGATGTACGGAAATATTTTTCAGTCCCGGTACGTCACGGCATCCCGTCCGAAAAATTAAATCAAAAACAATCGCAGTCGTTCACTTACGAAGACCAACTGGAGGCTAGCCTCCTCTAACGTTATACTTTCTGCAACTAAAATTACAAATCGGGACGTATGTCGCTGGCTGGATCGGTCTCGCGGAGCTTTTGTTTTTTAAAGCGGTCGGAAGCTTGTCTCCCTTGCAACGTATTATTTTGGGTCGATGGTTTCTTCGTTATTCGTTTGTGGGCGGTGCGTTTGAGGTTTGTTGATGCAGGATACAGTGTGGTACGTATTACGTAGTGAGTTATAGTGTTTTTTCGGGCATATTGTGTATTTATATTAAAAATTAATGGTAAAGTAATGATACCCAAGCATTTTTAGAAAAAAAATAATCATAATTATTCGTCAATATCTTTTAATTTATTGCGATGAATAACCTCAAATTTTATGGGGAGGCTAAGCCTCCCTTGCCTCCTCTGACGAGCCGCCGTTGGTAGTAAGTATCTAACTCTCTCACTGCATGACATCCTGTTGCTAGTCTTTTACATAAGTAGTCGACATGGGAATCAAATTTTAGATTTTTATCAATGAAGAGCCCTAAAAATTTGTTTTACTCCAAATTTTCAATTTTTACATTTTCCAAGAGTACTTTCTCTATGTTACATCTGAACGTGACCACATTTGTTT